GGTTATCAGATGTAGGTAAATACATGTGAATGCAAGAAACAAATTTATACTGATGGGAATTTTGCTGTTGGTTTGAACATAAACTATGAAAGAAGCATTAAAATAAATGAAATTGCACATTTGAAGAAGTTAATACACTGACTGAGTAGGGCAATAACAAACATATAGAACTGGCATATGTTCACATTTTGTTTTTGTTTTATAGCTAGGCAGAAGCAAGTCATCCATCATTTACTCTCAAGTGTGGTTAAAAGTGATTGTAAAAATGGCATTAGTGTTCTAATGTTTATATTTCAATGACTTCCAGATATAATATGCTTTTGCATTTATAAATAAAAAGGTGCTATTTATGAACCGTCAGCTCAGAACCCACCAGCTGGCCTCTGAGAATTGGACGTCTCCATGTCCGACCTGGCCAGTAATGGAAGTTGTTCCATATGTCCCTATCCCCTGCTGTGATGGAATTCGCACACCGTTTTTGGATAAAGTTGTGCATTTAACAAGTGAATTGTTTATGCAAATTTTGGTTTTTTTGCATCACCAACTAAACAAACAAACATTGTTTGCAAATCTTCTTCACACAGCTGAAAGCATTCGGCTTTGTCAGTGCTTTATAGACCATTCCAAAAAAGGCAGCCCTGCCTGTGGTTTCTATCAGATATCTCAGGAAGGTGATGTGATGACTTTCCTCATTTGTTGCCAACACAGGGCCCAGATTGCCTCTAGGATATAAAGCCCATACAGAGAAATGCACAGGGAGGAGTTTCCAGGAATCAGTTTATTCTCTTTGCTGCCTGATATTCTGCTTGCTGACACATGTGGGGATGGGAGAGATCCACAAAAACCTCATCAGGGAGGAGTAAATGAGGTTAATCTCTCCTACTCCTTCTGCAGTCACTCCTCCTCAGCACCAAGCAAGAATCAGTCTCTTTCCATGAGAGCCTGAGGAAGCTGGGAATGTCCCTGGTGGGCCTTGGCACAGCTCTGCCACTGATCCCCACGGGGTGGGGATTTGGCATGGAGGGAGTAGGGATGATATCAAGACATCCCATATGGCCTTCTCATCTCCACATGCCTTATCAGCAAACCAGAGAGTGCCCAGCAATATCCCCTTGTTGGTTTGCAGAAGTCCATGGGGAAGATGGAAGCCTGAATGTCTGACCTGGGTTTGCCTTTGGAAATGCATCCATTGCGCCTGAAGAAAATACATTCTCAAAGTTGCTTGAAAGAGTCAAGACAAATTAGAATATGTAAGTGGTAAAATTGTACATAAATAATAGTCTGATTACCATTTCAGTGACAGATGTTCCAACACAGAACCAGATTTTCAAAGGAGATCCGGGTTAAATTTTCAAGCATTCAGCCCCACATCTGGAGTTGAGCTTTCAGATGAGCTCACCTCTTGTTTCAATACTCTGCGGGCAATTCTCTGCAGAGCCCTCAACATGTAGTTCCAGTTATGATTTTTGTTAGGTCCTCATTTTTCAAAAGAAATGCAAGGTCATTTGAAAAACTGGCCTTGCTGATGCTGAACAGTTCTGGAAATCCACTTCTTTGCATGCATCTAAGTACAGTTTCCTGAGAGGTTGCCAGGGACAGCAGAGTGGACCCCCTTGTCCTAAAAAAGGATTGCATTCAGCCTATTGTACTCCATGCTATGCAGTAATCTTCCTAAGATATAATTCTCTCTAGGGAATGTCAAAGAAAAAGATAAAACAGTAAAAGCCACACTGTAACCAGGAGCAGATTTCCAAGCCTTAGCACAGTAGATGTTAGGTGCTGAACTTAGTCACAGCAATTCAGTGCTGGAACTGCTGCCAAAGTCATAGGGAAGCCTATATGCATATACATATTGTCCAAAATGTGACAGAATGTCCTAGACAATCTCCACCTGCCTCGTTACAAAGTTTCAAGACAAAGAAGGAACTAGTAATGACAGCTAACTTCAGGAGGAGCATAACCGTCCCACTTGCACCGTGTGCAGCATTTATTCTTAAGGCACTGTATTCTGCTGAAGTTGCTACTGTTGAAAAGTGGGCAAATGGCATTCCTTAGCCACGCTGGTGCTGTGTACCATTATAAAGAAGGCTGTACTACCAAACTGCACTGCTTGAAGGTCTGGCAGCTTAATCAGATCTAAGAACTAACGCTGTCACCATGCTGTTGCATCAGAGAGATGCCCCAGGGAAGGGCACAAGGAAGCCAAGGCAAAGTTGCCAGTGGCTGCAGCCCCTGTGAGGCCACTGGGCACGGCCACCTGCAGCCTGGAAGTGCCAGCTATGTTAAAAAGAACTTACATGCCTTTCTGCTAATAAAAATAGGCTTCTTTTATCAATGTACGTAAAATGCTTTAAGAGGGGGAAACATGCTCAAGTATGATGACTCATTTCCACATTCATATCTAAGAGTATAGCACTAATATTGAAAGTACAGAAGCCGTTTTCATGCATTTGGTTTATTACATGTTCAGATTTTGGAGTGCATGAAACGCTTTCACAATCATTTACTGCCTCTTTAGAGTTTCCCTGTTGTTGGAAGGCAAAACTTGCCTGCTCCACTTGCTCACTGACTTCTCTTAAGCTGTTGACCTTCACACTTCACACATAATAATGTTAAATAAGTATTCCGGGGGCAGGGAACTCCTCTATCCTTCAGCTGCTAAGGCTTTTTTTTTTCAATTTGTAATTTAAGCATCTCCCAGCAACTCAGTTCTTCAAAACCTGTGATTTTTTTTTTTTAAACTATCATTTATTTCAAAGTGATAACATCAATGGGAAAAAATTTGGCAGGCACTCCCTCAGAGCTCTCCATGTTTTGTCACCACCAGTCACTACTGGCTGCCTCAATTTTATAATGGGGTATGCATGTTTTCTGCAAGAAAATCAACAAATTTTATAACTGCAGGATCACGACCTTCCTTGCTCAACATCTGCGGAAGGTTTGTTCATCTCAAATTCCATGAATTTCTAGTGCCCAAGATTGTCTATCACAAAGTTTCATGTTGAGGGACGTCATCTCGAAAGTCTGTACTTATAACCCTTTAGTATTCTCTGATAATCACTCTTTTCTGTTGAGAAGTGAGTTTCTTGCTCTGAGTCCAGCTGCTGAGGAACATGTCTGTGATATTCCTATTTTGATTGAAAGTTTCAGTACCTTAGTGCATTTCCCAGTGTTGTGACAGAACCAGCGGGGAAAAAAAACAAACGTTTCGGTTTTATACACTCCTAAAGGAGAGTGTGACTTGATTTCAACAGCTTCAGATTTTAGCTTTAGGAATCATTGATGTTGTGATGACTGCAGACTAATTTTTTGTCCTAATTAACAGTACTATTTTTCTATGGTTCTTCCTACCCAGACTCACAGAAGTTATTCAGTTTTATTTAGTCATCCATCAGTAAGCACAGTCAAATGTTGCTGTTACATTTTATAATTGTTTCTGAAGATTAAACAGTCAAATATCCATAATGTATGCTGTTTCTTAAGCAGAAATCTCCATACCTCAGCTACAAAGACTGCTGGGAGTGTGGCTAGAATCAATCACGTATGATTCCATTCAGCAAGGACTCAGCATGGCTAACAAGTCACTATAAAATATGCCTTTTGGCACTCATGCTGCTGGCCAATTGTACAATGCTTTTTGCTTTGTCCAACCCTGAGAGAAGTTTGATCTCTCTGTGTTGGATAGCATCAGTCTCATTCATAGGAAACACACATGGATCAACAGTAATCCAAGGAGGTTCTATTTGATCAAAAGGATGCCTTCTTCAAAATACGTGGTTAGGTGGAGAGAGTTGGACAGATGTCATGATGTAACCCATTGCTTCACAGCGGGTACATGACATAAAAGGGAGGCTCTGCCTCAGCAGCTGGGCCATTGCTGCTTGCAGGCACTCAACACAAATGTGCAAAAGCTGATCTCACCAGAAATCATGCCCCCTCTTACCCATGAGACAAACATGAAGTTGCTACATGTGGGATCCTCAGCTATCAGCATCTGCTTGCGCTTTCCTCAAACACTCATATCATACTTCACAGAGTTCTGGAAATGAGATTCATCTACTAGGAATGTGAGAACAAGGGGGAAAAGGCTGGCGTCCCACTGTAAGATGTTTCAGTCAGTTTTTGCAATATCAGAAGAGTGAATTTTCCCATTACCACATAAAGACACCAGGACAGCACAGCACGCACAGTATACCCAGTGGTATAAGTGTCCCCCAGCTCCCCAACTTCTCCCTACCATGTGGGCTGAAACACACAGCCACAGCAAGCAGGGAATGGTAGATAGCCCATCTACCCTTACTGCTGATGGTGATGACACTGGGAGTCACACCAAGAGGTTCCTTCCTCTATTCCCACTTGTATCTTGTATCTTCTGAAGCAACAAAAGGCAGATAGCAGAGGGTAGTCCTCTGCAGATATGAATGGTGTGGCAGAAATGCTAAGTCATGGCCTGAAGCAGTGATTGAGCACCTGGTGGGAAGGCAGGGCCAACCCAGGGGAGCTCAGGTGCATGCAATGGATGCAACAGGATCCACCTGTTCCCAGACCTCATTTAAGGGTCGGCAGTGGAGGCAAAAGTATTTTGCAGGAGATTCCTGTGTAACTGAGATCTACCAAAAGTAAGCTGCTTTTTTCTCCCAATGCTCTTACGTTTGTACTTGTCCTCATTTGCTATAGCTATGGACTTTGCCACCCTCCTATTATTGTTGTACTTTCTATCATGTTATAGCACTACAAATGGCAAGCAGTAAGGCGGGAGCCAATTTCTTCTCTTCCTCAGTCCTAGCTCTGACCCTGAAGTGTCGTGCTGCGTATCTCCCTTCCGCTCCTATTTATGTTCATCTACCATAAAACGTGGATAGTGCTTATTTAGCTCCTCTTAGTCATGTTGTGAGTACTGTTTATGAGAGCGTTACAGTGTCTTGAAAACTATATTCTCTGCATTACTGTTCTAATGCTGTGCTAGAGATCAATGACATTGATAAACCGTTTTACCTTACCATTAAGTTGTGTGTTGGACTGGCACATGGCTCAGCATGCCACCTGCAGAGCTCCAGGTTCTCCTCTTTTTTTGTGACGTGGCCAGAGCGAGAGTTCTAACTCTGTTTGTTGAATTGTCTGCTGGAAATGTGTAATCAATGTATTTGCTCTAGACACTATTTCCAGTGAAAATAACTGCTCATGAGGCCACACCTCACACTTCGTAGTGAGATAAGTGGTTAACCATTGTCTTAACTAAAGTTCAGTATAAAACTGATAAAGCCACTAAGCTAACTGATTGATAACTTAATTAACTCTTTGTGTGCCAATCAACCTGGAATACTTACAAGTGAACAACGTCCTATGTCCACCTCAAATACACACCTTTCCAGCTGTTTCTGAATGGTTATTGAGTAAAATTCTTGCCAGCGTTATGCACACTGCATCAGCCTTAACACCCTACATTTGCCTATCCTTGTGAGCTGTGCAGGCATATGCAACCTAATCCTCCCCATAACTTTGTCACTTCAGGCACTGTTGGTGCCTGGCCTTTTGAAGAAGCCTTGCAGTCAGCTTTGTGTGAATGTATTATTGTCTTGCACTTCTTGGTTTCTCTTCTTTCAAGTAAGAAAAACATATATCAGTCATGATATGAACTGAGTGCTGAGGGAGGAAAGATATAGATATCCCTGCCCAGCTGAGTCCTGCAAGTTCTGAAGATTGCTCCTTCTGCGCACGAAAAGGAAAATGTGGGGCTTTTGCTTTCTTTTCTAATATAGTGTAGTCTTGGATCTGCAGTAAGCCCCACAACCTTAAGGCATTCACTGCAAAGTGAAGTTATTTGATAAATTTGTCTTGTTGAGTAATCAACATCTTGCCCTTGGGCTACATAGTATTTACCTTTACAAAACGCACGCTGCACAGGCGATCCTGAGTCCTTGCATTTGCTATCAATATATGGCTTTTATCTTCTACAAGGCTGAAATCTGACTGAATCTTTCAAACTCTAAGTGTGATGGCAAATTTCATTGTAAGGAGTTCCCAGACAGTGCAGTTATGGTTTATTGTTTCAGTTAGTGAATGTTTAAAAAAGCAGCTGTCTCTTAAAAACATATCATAAAATGTGACATATGCACATGAACTGTAAATAGATAGAAATAATAGCTTGTACTAGTAGATCCAGTCCTAGGCAGGTATCAGTTCCTTGTTTAGTTGCAAACTTTCTGTCTGCATATGGGCGAATGAACTAATCTTCTCTGTAGCTCATTTCTCTTTAAGAACAATCAGCAGAACCAAATGCCCCTTTTCAGAGTATGAGCTGAGTAGCTCTGAAATCCCTGGCGTAGTAACCCCTGCTCCAAGGAGGACTCGAGCAGGACCAAAGTAAATAGCCAGCAGTGATTTCAAGGTTGCCAGCCTAGCGTGACTAATGCGATATTTAAAGAAAGAGAGAGGATTTCCAGCCAACCTGTGATTGAACTGTTACCCATTTGCACCAGAGAGCCCAGAGGCTCAAGTTGAGGCATGCCTTGGTTAGCAGCACTTCATTTCACAGAATCATAGAGTCATTAAGGTTGGAAAAGACTTCTAAGATCACCTAGTCCAACTGTCCACCTAAGACCAATATTGCCCACTAACTGATTTTCCTTGGTGCTGCATCTACACGTTTCTTGGATGTTTCCAGGGAAAGTGACATCATCAGCTCCCTGGGCAGCATGTTTCAATGCCACACTGCTCTTTTAGGTAACAAATTTTTCCTAATGTCCTAACTGAACCTCCTCTGGCATGACTTAAGGCCATTTCCTCTCATCTTTCCTAGTTAGGTAACTCGATGTCCTTTAAAGCCATCACTGTCCAAACGGCCAAATGAGAACCTCAAAGCTGGGATTTGCTTGAGGGCCACAGACTGAAGCTGCTTTTGTTGCTCTTGAAGTTTCTAGCTATCTTTTTTTTTTCATGGTCTAGCAGTTCATAGTGATAATCATGCATTGCTAGCAGTTAGATGCAGCTCTTGTTTGTTACTCACTGGTGTTGTATCTTATCATAATTGAAATGCAGGGACTCTTTCCCTCATTTCCCCACCCACATCTAGGAAGCATCTGAAAACCTTCATGTTTCTGTGAGGAGATGCAGTAAAGCCTTGTGCTTTTCTGCGGACTTCTTGCTGATCTGGTCATCTTGTCATCAGTATAGGGGAAAAAAAAGGCTCTTTTTCAAGGAGAGTGAAAAATGGATATTTGCAATTATGAAGGACTCATCTCTCTGTGAGTTACTGGTACCTTAACTATCATGACAGTGGCTACCTAGCAACCATTCCTTTCCACTCAAGCCAACTTCACTTACAGATAGTTGTGATTCTGATAGTGTGGGGAAAAGGAGGCCATAACAATATTAATTCACTCAGACACTATAAGCTAAAGCATCTTCTTTTGGAGAATTTAAAACAATATTTCATTAGCAGACTGAAGAAACACCAGTGATGTGGTCATGTGTCATGGCAGGTTAAAGCTCACCATGTAGAACTGCTTTTTCCCAGGTTATAGTGTGCAAGAAATACTACATATTAGTAAGAGTAAAATAAATAAAAACAAGTAAACAAACACGAACTGAAAAAAGAAAGACCTTTACACTTCTTAAGGGAGAAAGTCCTATTCCTAGTAACGCACAGTAGAAATTAACCCCCACCAGTGAGTGACTTCTGGGTTTAACTTGACATAAGCTTTAAATTTATGTACCTAATGCCAGTTACTTTTCACCCAGAAGACAGGGTGGAGTTTTACTGCGCTTGGGATTTGTAGACAGAAGCAATCCAAGGCAATAAATAAGTTGGTTTTTTTCTCCCTCCTGTCTGAAGGCATTTAGCTTAACCTTGTAAAGCTATGTAATTGTTCTGATTGTTTGTCTTTTAGATCATTTCTCTTCCTCATCCCATTCATGATCAGCAAAATTAAGCAGAAGCTATAATTCACTGTGTGGAGCTATCTAACCCATCCCTTCTGCAGATGACAAAGTGCAATACCTAGCAAATCTGTTTTCCACCCATATTCACATGGCAACACTGTTGCTTATTCATGAGGGATAAAATATCCTTCCAAAAATGTTTAAATACTGCTCTGTATTTCTCCCTGATCTCAGGGTCACATAGCTCTTCTCCCTGGCTTTGTCCCAGCATTCAGACTATTGTATTAGGTTTTCAGTTCTTCCAGTCTCATCAGTGTTGTCCCACCAGCTTGTAGATTCTCAGACCACTTGCTGATTGACCTTCACAAAATTTCTCTGAAGTAACAAACTGTTCCTACTTCGATTTAACTTGTGAGAAACAAGGCACTACATTATTAGAGTATTATGGAGAACTGAGTGAATTTCCAGATTCTGCCAGTATTGCATACTGATTAAAATGACTTGGAATGGTCAGATGGGATTTGGCCAACTATTAGCAATACTGAAATACAGGCAGTCAGTAGGCAAATAAAAGGAAGGAGGGGGAAGCTCTTACCATAAAGGTAGATATAACAACAAACAAAGACATGCAACTGAATAAGAGACGATACAGAGAATTACTGAGTGAAGTGAATACCTAGTATTTCTGAATATCAGACAACTTATTCAGGGTATTAGAGATATGAGTTCCACTTCCGGCTCCTACAGAAATCTGAAGATTTATGTCTATGGTTAATAAGTACATAGTAAAAGAAGAGCCCATGTGTAATGTTGCCCCACATTAATTGAGCAGATTCTTAATGTGCTCTGAGCAGGATTCAGAGTCTTGGGGAGAGGCCAGCCTTAAAGAACACGAGCTACCCGAGGAGGACCACTCACTCTTGAAGTCTCGGTCATTGCAAGAGGAGACTTGCCAGCGAGTCATCCAGAATCTCACATGTTTTTGCCTGCTGGAGGCAGACTGAGGGATTCCCACTGAAGGGCACTAAATTCACCGCTCTTCATAGTTGATTGACTAATGAAGGAGGCTAGAGAGAGCACTAGCAGCTACTGCTTTGGGGTTTTTGTTTTGCCTTATGGGATTTTTGGTTGTATTATGTTGGTTTGACTTTTTTGTTTGTTTTGGTTTTTATTTGTGAGGTACCTGTTGCTTCAGTGTTTGAGGCACGCCCTTAGAAAATGTCAAATAAATGCCACTCCCTGATACTGACTGCTCTTGGACACGACATAGGCAGAAGCTGCTCAGACCAAGTCCACTGTGGGTTTGCAGGAGGAGTAAATGCAGGTATCTTGGCTGTCTTAACAATAGAAAACCACATGTACATAAAGCCTTAAGTTGGTTCCACTTTCAGGTGAACACTAAAAATAAAAGACGGTTTTGGATTGTAATGTTTACAGTTAGAATTAATCCTGCTGCGAGCACTAAGGTCTTGGTCAAGACATAGATTTCACAACTGATCCTATTGAGCCAAATGTGTCACTGCCTTAAGCCTGCAAACATCAGTCAAGCTTCATCAGAAACTACGACTCTATTTCTGTACCGTGTTCTGCAAAAAGGACCAATACCTCACATTTGCCACCCCTATTGCTTTCATTGGATCTGGAATTAAATGTTTCAGGTGAAAGAAAAAAAAAAAAAACATGAGGAAAAGAGCGGGTTAAAGACTAATGTGGCTTGCACTTAACGTGTAAAAGTGGGATAATACCACTTCGTAACTCACGGGAGAGCTGACGTTTGTGAAGCGTTTTGCAGATGTCAGAAGAATTATAATGGTCATTAATTAGAAAATCACAATTCAGCTTATGCTTTGATTCTAGGCAGATTTCCTCCTCTACCCTTTCTACTAAAACTGATGAAGTGCAATTTCATTTATCTTCGTTGTCTGCAGTTTTGAAGTAATGGGAAAAGTTCACAGCATAAGCTTTGAGGTGTCTTCCTGTTATCAAGGGTTCCTATGAAGTATATTAAATTGATTCAGGCTTATTAGTTTATCAAAAGAGCGTAATCCTATTATTTAGCTTTCAAGGGGAAGTAGCAACTATCTCAGTAATTACTGTTTCCTTGCTGGTACCCCCAGAACAAGCAAGTTTTCCATGGTCCAAAATAATTGGTAATGGCTGGATAAAAGCCTGTAGATATCAGTGCTACCAACTAATAAATTCAATAGAAAAAAC